CGGCCCTACGGGCCTACCAAACAAGCAAGTACCCTTGCGGGTCACACACACTCATACTGACAAGCACTCAGTCAGGCACGCAGGTCACAAGCACGCACACACAGACAAACTTAGAAAACACAGCAGAATGCGGGAATCTCAGCAAGGCATCCATTCCATCGGCAGAACTTCAGAAATCAGCAGTGTTCTCAGTCTGTGTTTTGACGGGTCATTACACACTGCTTGAGACTGGCGTCCAAAGTACCCGTGTGACAAGGCTCGCCTGATCATGCTTTAACTGGGGCTGGGTGGGGTTATCTGCCTAGCCCCGTTGCCTATAACTGCTGTCCGGTCCAAGTCACCCTCTGATGGTGAGGTGATAGCCCTGAGTGATTAACACCGAGGTAGGATAGTGGAAATAGGGCTGGGCTAGGAGAGTCGATGAGAGGATGGGTAGGGAGGCCGTCTCACAAAAAGATGTCAGGATAACCAATGGCTGACTGGCGACTGCGACCACCCTATGTCTGGAAGCCGGCCTCTACAACAGCCTGGGTGGGCTTAAATTAAAAAAAAGAGAAAAAAAAGAAAAGAAAAGACCAGGCTAGTTAAACCACCAGTATTTCGGAGCCATGTTTGGCCGGGGCTCCAAACGCACCGTGCGCCCAACAAAACAGAAGCGGTGCGGGCCTCGTTTTGGCTGCCACCTCCAGCCGTGTTGCTTTGCCTGCCAACCCCCGCCAGTTGTGGTAGCATACAAGCTGAATCGGAGAAAATGGCTGGGAAACGTAGTGGTGGTTACAATCATACACTTGTGGACAGATATCGGATCGTACACTAGTTCAATCAGCCCACTGCTCTCTGAGGTAAGATAGATGTGTCGGTGCAGATGAACTGCAGCGGTTCACACATTCGCACAGGAACGTACAAGAGTACTCGCAAAAAAGACAAGCACTCTCGCAAATGATGATAGCCAAGCTTCACGAACTCGAAACGAAACATGGCACATTGAAACAGTGCTCTCTGGTATGTGTTCCCTCCAAAAACCAGCTCTTGATGAGAGATCCCGCCCTAACGCTGATGTTGTAATTTTGGAAATGGACATCTTGGGATTCTCAGCCTTGTGGCTAAGTAAGATCAACTGTAGTATCTGTTATAAATTATGATCAGTTTAATATCTGATCCAGAACTTTTTTTGTTTTCTTAACAAAAAAAAAAAGTCAATTTGTGAATTTGCAAATCACATCGTCTGAAGTTTGGAAATTGCAGATTTGTCCTTCATGCTCCTTACTCTGCAAGATACTTATGCATAGCCCAACCATGGGCAAAGTTGTTGTATATTGCTTGAGGTCTTTGCTTTTTTTTGTTGTGTGTGTGTTTTCCATCCATGAATGTTTATATATTTGTCACAGCCCCTCGTTTGTTGTCCTCTTC